GGGAAATCCCGTTGACGGGTGACTACTGATGGCCTGACCGATAAAACTAGCTGAGAAAAGGGCGAAACGAAGGACCCGCATAGTGTGGTGGTGAACGCGTTAGCCCCGGAAAGGGTAATACCGTGTTCGTTCCCCACCGCAGACACCTGCAGTCCGGAGTTTTACAAATATCTCAGCATCACTAGAGTTATATTTCGCAATATACCCTGCCGTTAAGAAGAGTAGGTAGTAAATAATAAGCTAGAAATGGAGGATAGTTAGCCTTTCTATTTTTTGCCTATTACAATTTTTCACGGCAGGGTACGATGTGAATTACAACCACAACGATGCTGAGATATTGGAAAAACGTGGACCAAACAAACTTGGTTTTAATCTGGCCCGGCGTCCAAGTTTTGCGAATCTCTCAGCATAGAGGATAGTTTTTCAGTAACTGGACGACTTGAGAATTTGTGGACATGATAGATTCTCATAAGAGACTTCACTTTATTGCTCTATAGGTTTAAATGACAGTGTGCTGCTATTGGTTATGTGTTACTACCGTCCATTATACAAACGCATTGCCTTCAGTATTTGGAAGTATTTCGCAACTTATGTTCAATCTATTTCTGCATTTTTTATGCACACACATTTAATCCCATGACTTCGATTCATCGTAGCGGTTAGACATGAAATGACAGTCACTGGCCTCTAAACGTACAAGCTGATAAAGTTTTTTACATATTTCTAAGTGCAGAGTAGAGCTTTTTCCAACCGACGCCCGAAATCTGTGTTGTTTAAGTTATCGATCATTTACAAGAAGTGTTGGAAAAAGCTCCGTGTGCCGAAATAAAACATCGGGAAGAAATGACCCCTATATTGCTCATACCGGCCACAGCATGCTGCTTATGATTGCACGGAATGCACGCCTTTGCTATGTATCAGATAACTGTTTTTAGAAAGAAAAGATAGTTCCCTGAGTCGTTCCAGTCTCTCTTAGGTAAAATACTAGCAAAGTAATCCCCCTAATAGTTCAAAAACATTAGAAACAGTGATTTGTTTCTGTAGTGAGGACAAGAAAAGGATGAAAGCATAGTGTAAGAGAATGGAATCAGTACTACTCACCGTTTTCGTGATGATTTATTCTACACTATGAGGTAGTGTACTGGTCGTCTTCGAATGAACGATCCAGTTCTCCAGAATCGGTATTTAACATTAGTGAAGTGCACAGTGAAGATCCAATCTGAAAGTGAGGTTGTTGCTTTAATTTCCTTGAGTTTTTTCGAGGACTTCAGTTTTTGTCAAGCCGTAAAACACTTATGTCACAAAACCTAACATGTCGTCAACTTCCTAAGGAGCAAATCTATTTTTCCAATGATGAAAAAGTGGAGTATACAATGAAAACGAGAGGTACTTCAACAAATGGTCTTTAATTATCGTGGTGCTCTTTGTAATTTCTTTGTCGAATATCGATGGCACTTCATCCATAAAACAGCGACATATGGGGCACCTTAGGGTAATAGCATTCGCTGATGTGAATAACATAGCACGATAGAGTGTGATGAAATACGTAGTTGATCTATGAGCAAAATTGTCATCGAAATTCGGCTTAGATAAAAATTTGCCCACTCTTTCGGCATGCCTTTGGAGAAATACCGTTGGTGAGAATACGACTAGTTCATACGATACCATGATATTGTTAAAAACGATCATTTTAAGGTTACCATGAGATGAATATAGTCTCGGGCTGACATAGCAGTGGCGAACCGTCCGAGCTGCAAGCAATGACCAAGTTATGACCGAGATTTTGTTGCACTGCAGAACAGCGGTAGAATATGGTCCCAATAGTGAGAATGGATATCACGTCCCAGCAGCTCTTTTTCGAAGCTTGACATGCTTCTACGTCGGTGTGCAACACGCGGTTAGTAAAGAAGTGGATCCGAACATTTGATCGACTTACTGCCAGTCCTTATCAATAAATACATTGATTATAATAATACGTACACGTCACCGATTGAAATGTTATACTGCAAACCAGTGGGAAGAGTCAAATGGTAAATTACGCAATTTGGTGTTTCATATAGAAGGTCATACAGGCGCTTACGAACTAACTCACGACGAAGAGTATCCGGTGGTATTTCAACTATCGCTACCAATTCCCTAGATTTGCCCTTCCTAAGCATCGCTTTATCGCTACACTTATCCCCAAGTAACGAGAACATCCTTGTTCATTTCCATTCTTCCACCATTCATACACAAAGAGGGCGCTCGTGAGAAACATGTTGCGTGCACAAGTAGGGAACTAAAGGAAGAATCGCGCAACTTGGCTCGGGAAATAGCCATCTCCAATGGCTACGAAATAGTAACCCCACGAGCTAAGTTTAGAAGAAGAACGACGCTCCAAAACGAAGGGTTTGGCCGAAACAAAATCCCATTTATCTTGCCCTTTATTAGCGATAAAGTAAGCGTAGCGATAAAGCGATGCTTAAGAAGAGCAGATCTAGAGGAATCGGCAGCGATAGTTAAAATACCACCGGATACTCTACGTCGTGAGTTAGTTCGTAACCGCCTGTATGACCGTCTATGTGAAACACCAAATTGCGTAATTTGCCTTTACGTCAGAGACGGTGACTGCATGAGTTTAGGTACGATATTCCTCATTTCTTGTAGTACGTGCGGAGACGAATATACCTGCGAAACGGGCAGACTTATGTATCCGCATAAAAGAACACCTAGTTGGCAAACGAAAAGCAAAACAAGGCACGTCACTAGGGACGCATAGGATACAAAAACGTAGCGGAGAAGATTTTGATGTAAAAGTCTCTATCATCGCACGGAAGACCCAAAAATCCAAGAATGAAGTGTAGGGAAGAATGCCCTGAGATAACGCGTGATGTAGCCCTGTATCTCAGAACTGATTTTTGATGTGGGATGGCGCAGTAAATCGACCATATGAGACCCTAAGCGGCTGTTCTTTCTTGGTGGAAAACAGATAAAAACGATGAGTTTTTCGAGAAGCCGGCGATCGTGTAATGTGTAAATAATGGATGCGAGGAAACGAATCGAATGTGAGAAGTGCTGGGATCCGCACACTAGACGTGAAGACGGGTCATATAAAGTAAAAAAAACCATTCTACAACGATATTGTTGAGCTAAACAATGGGAATCACAGACTGGATACTCTTTTGTCGAAATTACGTACAATATAGTGAACAAGAGATTGCTGATGGTAAAAGATCGATAGAATAAGCTGAGAGGCAGGCAAAACGAAGGACCCGGATGGTGTGGTAGTGAAGTGCGCTACTCCCCGGAAAGAACAATAGCGCGTTCGTTCCCCACCGCATACACCTGCGGTCCGGAGTTTTGCAAATATCTCAGCATTAACGAGTTGTCTCAGCATCATTGAAGTTATATTTCACAATGTATACCCTGCCGTTAAAAAGAGTAGGCAGTAAATAGTAAGTTAAAATAGTGAATAAGAGAAGCTGGTTAATCGATGATGAGGAAGTCAACATCAAAACAGAACGACTATGAAGCAGAGGAACAGAAATTGATTTATCCAAAATGAAAAATAACCTTTCACCCTTTGAGTCCCTCGAGTAGGCAAACAGACCATACTCGCACGAGATAGAGACGAACAGTGACGCCTATAACTCCTATTCGATTCACTCGATGATCATCAATAGGACAAGTGATGCCAGTGATTTCCTTTCATTTTACCTATGTCTCAGCTTATTATGAACACCTCCTTATACGACGAGGTAAACCATTGAAGCTTAGCACGTTTTCAAAACAGTTAAATATTATTTTAAAAGGAGTTCATGGTAGAGTTTCAACAAATTGACAAGCTTAATAGATGGTTTTTTGCATTACGATATGTTTATACGTCCCCATCTTTCATAATACCATCAGGCGTCCACCAGAACACTCTCAGCTCTCAAAGAATTTAACCGACATGGATTACTCACTAAGTGGGAGGAAATAAAGAGTATAACCACTTTTTATTTAGTGCCTATTCTTCTTTTTTTCATAGGAAGATATGATGGGGAGTATGACCACAATGATGCTGAGATGTTTGTAAAACTCCGGACTCCGGTGTCTGCGGTGAGGGTTGAACCCGTCACTATCTTTCGGTTTGCCTTCCTCTCATCCATGTTTTATAGGTGCTATCAATAATCAACAATAGTGGCGCGTGTGGCGCAGTGGTTGGAGGGCGCCACTGCGACACTCACACGTCAAGGAAATTAATATCGGAAGCAGAAATCGGTTCTGAACCCAGTTAAGCTTAAGCTGTGGTAAAAATAAATAGTGTTCATGGATACAAATTATTCTCTTTGCATTCGAACAAAACGTAGCATTTAAAGGAAATCATTAGTGAAGATGACAGCTGAATCCGACACGTCAAGCACATTCGCGAGAGTAAGTGGTTCTTACGAGGTGAAATATTGTCGCATAAATTGAAACCAGACTTTCATCAGAATAGATTTCTTCTCTACTAATGGGATTTGGTGGAAATGTTGTACTATGGCATGTTGTTATCCTAGGATTGCCATGAGTGCCGTTGCCCGTACTCTCATTAAAAAGGGTGTGCCAGGTACAAAAAATTCTGCAAGTGACAGCACTCATTACGGTAATGCGAAATTAACTATTAAGATGCGTTCGGTACTTGTCAGAGAATTTCTTTCTGAGAATTCGGCGTATTATGCAGACTTTGGTTGTTCCAAATATCATTTGTTGTGGGGTCGAAGCGTTTGAGAATATCCATCATATGACTTCGCAATCGGCAACATTCTGGAAAAAGGGTACCGAGCTCCAAAGGGTACTTATGCAATGTAGAAAGGTGACAGATAACTACGGTGATTACACAGAAAGACTTAATAAAGTTTCCAAAGTTCTACAAAACTTTCATTCCAGGTCCATAGATAGCGTATCATCAGCAAAGTAATGACTGAATTAATAGGAAAGGTTGACTATTTTTAGAATAGTTGTCGTTTTCACGACATCTGAACTATTTTACTATAGGATCAAACCTTTTCGTCGTGCAATTCCAGTTTGAGAACAGCCGAAGAGTGAGCCCATCCGAAAGGATTCGTCGCGACGGCGGTATAGGTCCCACAGAGATCGTGTGTGGTGACGTCGATATCTAGATTGGCCGAACCGCCCTCAGTCATACAACTTCGGATGCATGGATGGTTATGTATGGCGGAACCATTGTGCAACCAACACACCATAGGAAGAGGATCACCGTGTATTGAACAGCTGAACGTAGCTGACACGCCAAGCTGGAATCGTAAGAACATTACTTTTCGTTTCTCCCTCTCCGTAGCAATTAGAAAGTAGATGCAGAATTTCTTTTCTTATCACAGCTAAACTATGTAGCTATATCTTAATAACTCCATCCACTAGCGACGTTTTGAAAATTCGATGTAGTAATAGCTACTTCTAAGTGTCGAAATGGGAGGTTCTTCTTTAGAGTAGATTGATTTACTCTGGTCAACTACTGGCTTAAACCACTGTCTATGATTTATATGCATTTGGAGTCGCGATTCTCTCTCATCGACGATTTAACCTTGTGATAAATCATATGTAATTCTATGAACTACCTCTACAGCTAAGGTGTTGTTGTCTTTTGTGCTGCGCAACTACTACGAGTTGTTCACCACGATTCGCTTCGAAATTGTCGAATTAAAAACTTATAGAAATATTGCCTCTAAACGACAGATCTGGAGGCAGCTCTAGAAACTACACGACCAAAACTAGCCAATCGCTGAAATCTTTTGTGACAACACCGGACCATGAGTGTTTATGTTTGTAGAAGTGTTCTAGAGATTGGATAGAATGCTCTCGGCCACCCTTCATATTTATTTACCTCACAGGCCCAAAGCTTAAAACCATCGTCTGTTTCAGTCACTATAAGATCATGTTAGAAGTGAATCTCATTTCTTTGAAATATCATAGGAACGAATGAAACTAAACCACTTTTCGTCAATAGACGTCGACTCGCTTATGAGAGAAAATTTCCAACGACGTAGCTGATTGGGAAACGACATCAAACAAATTAGCGCATATCTTGTTCAAAAAATTTTTGCAGCATTTTTAAACTCCCTGCTTGGAATTCTCTGTAGTTTGTTCTCAAACGTTTCTTATTCTCAAGCTTAAATTGTAGTTTTACAATCGCTACCAGTTAGGAAACATTTGCACACGAACGGCTCCTCCTACTAAGAATGCTCACAAAGACGAAGAAAGGAATTTCGAGGAAAAAAATCGTTTCTTGAAATAGTAGGTTTATAGCACAAGTCATCTCAAAACGCTCGAGAATATCATATTAGCATATAAAAAGATTCCTTTGCTCTCAGAAAATTCGTGGAAACTGGTCCAAAGCCAATGTATTTTCGTTTTCCTTCTTTCCTTCCTTCCATTCTTTCCCTTACTTTTCCTTTTTTTCCTTCTTCCTTTCCTCCGTATCATTTCCTTCACCATGAATCTGTTATTTGCATTCAATTTCTCTGCAACTTTTCGTTTATCTGACGTCATTTTCCAAGTAAATATTTCTCGACTTATATTTTAAACGAATCTTAAGTATTCAACTCGTCTGTATTTATTTTTTAATTTTCTTTATTTTTCTATATTATCTCGAAGAGTCTCTCACTTCTCGAATGGTGATATCATTGATTTTGTCCAAAAAGACTGGCATCTGCGAGACGTGCTCAACAGCCTCCTGATTGACAAGCAGCATGGCACTTGATTGCGCAGAGCCGAATCTATTCCCAACCTGAACATAGCTCATTATCAAACTGCAAAAAAATAAGAAAAATAACATTCACACTTTATATATAGTCATGTGACCAGAAGGAAACGTTTGGAAACTGACCTTGCAGAGATAACACCCTTGATGATCGGGTTGCACCTCAAAAATTTTTAAGATTGCTACCCTTCCATCAAAATAGGTGCGTAGAGTTCGACTTTCAGCAATCAACTTATCGTCATGATACCACTCCACTGTAGGTACAGGTTCTCCATCCACCTCTAGTTCCAAAAGCTCACGACTTCCTGGTGGTAACTTTTCATAATGATGAGCAAATAAATAGCCAAAAAGAGATTCTGAACTCAATATTTTGTCAGCTTGGTTCAGAGAACTAATATAGTTTAATGAAATGATGTGCCAAAAATAAGAACACCGCAAATCACTTCAAGGTATAATTCAATCGCTGCCATCAATTAGAACTTCAATCGTTCTTTTTTCGATGATCTTGTTCTACTACACACTGCATTCTAATATTTCTATAAGATGAAGCTTAGCGGAGCTTCAGCCCCTTGTCACATTCAAGACATTGTAAGACTCCTACATTGCCTTGAACTTTCATTACGTAACAGCAAATTCTTGCAGGACTAATTTCTAAACGAACTTCATAGTTAACTTATAGTTTCAATTTTCTTATCTAGCAGCCAGTTTCGTTGTAGTACTACCTTATTTTCGTGATCTGTAGACATTTTTAAAGGATAGAGCTCCATTACACATTCTTACACTTTACACATTTTTAACATTCCGTACCCTCGTCGCCGGTAATCGCAGATAATAATAAATTACCAGAGTATCTCGTTCTGTGCATAATACCCTAGACTACATCAGAAACTGTCTCTTGACAACATCATTGCTTCAAAAGTGGCTCTGAGAGAGCTAGCACTTATCAAAACCTATAAGCGAGTGTCCGCTCTTTGTCTGGAATTGAGTTTTCGCTTTTAAATGAAATCATATTCATGATCACTGAAGTACCTTGAAAACCATCTATACTTATAACTGGGAAAAGCCTCACCAATGTTGACCACGGTATTCACGAGGGCACGAGTTATGACTGGTGCACGAGGTTGATTCGAACATGAGGCGGGAAACGTAATGCGTTTGCGGTTAGGATAGAATGAGGGAGATAGCAGTACTCTGCCGAAATCCATTCCTGTAGTACAAACGATAATTGAAATGCTATTCATAAAGAGTTTGCAGGTGACTAGCGAAAAGTGCTGGGATCGGCACAACATATGCTGTCGATTTTGTGTGGATGTCCACACAGAATGTTAAATATTAAATTAATATTCAACCACAATAATGCTGAAATATTTACAAAATCCCGGATCGCTGGTGTTTGTGGTGGGGAGCGAACGCGCTATTATTCTTTCCAGAGTGCTAACGCCTTCACCACCACACCATGCAGGTCCTTCACTTCGCCCATTTCTCAGCTGATTCTCTTAGCTACATTGACGGGAAATCCCGTTGACGGAGAATTGCTAATGGCCTGATTGATAAAACTAGCTGAGGTGGTGAACGCGTTAGTCTCCGGAAAAGGTAATAGCGCGCGTTCGTTCCCCACAGCAGACACCTGCGGTTCAGAGTTTTGGAATTATCTCAGCATTATTATGGTTGAGTGACACACAATAACCTGCCGTGAAAAAATGTAATAAGCAGTAAATAAAGAAAAAAAGTATAACATTGTAAATTAGTATTACTAGTTTATAAATAGTTAAATTTGTCAACCAAAGCACGCCTAATCACGTAGGCATAATATGACACTTTTCAGCAATTCATGGCAAACGTTTAGAAATGGAGTGAGAAGCTGACCTACTACTTGTACACGGCAGTGAGTAAAATCCTTTCCAATGGCATTATATGCGACACAACTGTAACCTCCAGAATCTCCTTGTACGGCTTTCATGATATTTAAATTCGTATACCCTTTTCTATCCATATATTGAAGCATTCGATCCTCTATCATCAACTTTAGGCCGTCTTTATACCTGGAAAACAGACACCAACCTTCGGATGAATTACTGTAACCTCACGAACGCGGAAATAAAAAAGCTAGTGAACTGACGACAAAAAGCAAAATAGACTTAGGTTACAGCAGTGATAACCAGTATGATAAGGTAGTTGGATAAATATTAGAATGAATGCTATCTTGGAATCGCATGCTGTAACCCTAGAGGTCTTCATGAGTTAAAGTAAATTTACTGTAGACAAAAAGTGCTTGACCTTCTTAACTCTTTCAAAGATCTTATTGTTAACAGCAATGTACTAGCTGATAGCGAGCTTACCAAATAACTGACGGAATCGGTTTGCCAATAACATAGCATTCCAATATGATTTCGTCGTGTTCAAAAACACATTGATTCGCGAGAGGTTCAATGAATTTTGGAGCGGTGTAGTCATTCTCGTGAGGAGCTCAAATAATAAGTCATACGTATGTTTACATTAGTATAAACAGTGTTCTCTCATATTCATAAATAGAGTTAATTTCAACCTAGTGATGAAATAGTGACCGTAAGGAGAAAATTTGCTTCAAGTAGGAACAGGACCCCTTTAACAATTGATTAAATGACATAACTCATTTCGGGAGGGCTCATTTAACGCAGTGGCTAGAGGTGACCTGCGTTGCATTGGCTCTACCCAACGCCCTGCGGCTAAACAAGCCCTCCTTCCTTCCAGAGTCGGCAGCTTAGTACCAGATCTATCTAAGACATAAAAAAATTACACTGGTACACTAGCAAGTCTCTACAAGGAAGATAAAATAACAAAGCTGTCTTCGTCAATCAATCTTCGAAGGATGCGTCTTGAATTCGACTTCATCAAGCATCGTTAAAGGTCACTGAATGTGAATATATGGCCTATACAAAGATTCGAGATGGTTTAGTAATTTTACAAATCAGTGCTGCTATTCTGGCAGACAAGTCTGGTAGCAGGTTTTCAAGAATGAAAGGCTTGACGAGCCCAGAGAGAAGGATCAAACCAACGACCCACGTGTAAAATATACCAGAAAAAACTAACTTGTGATGACGACGAAGGTACTTGATGTAGCTGTACCATATTCGTTGACCGCTACACAAGTATAACTACCAGCATTACTGACAGCTGTGACAGGAATGGTGAGTGTGCAAACACCGTCATCGTATCTCATATTGCTATCTTCTCGTGTTAACCTGTACGTGAGAGTTCTTATTGAATTACTCGTGTTAGTGACTACAACCTCATGCTGATAATTTTTCTCACGTACGATTTACTTACGATATTCCACCGAACAAATTATGCTGATAAATTCATTTTTCGTAATCTCCGAACTGTTTTTTATCAGCACCATTTATGTAGTTATCATGGACAAACACAGTCTTTGATCTTTTAAATCTGTATGACTCATGTTACATAATATGAAGAAGAAGGACTGTTCTAAGCTTTACAATGATTTTCTTTGGCTTACCTTTTGCCGTTTTTAAGCCATGTAATGTCGGGAGCAGGGAAACCGATGACTACACATGTGAGAGTCATTTCCGCTCCTTCGGGAATCTTAACGAGAAGGATTATCACTAGGGCTAAAAAAGGATTGCAAGAAGTAATTCAAAAGTCCACATCTGCAATCATATGATTAACCAACGGCTTACATCTCTTAATCTACTAAGTGGCATGTGGAACCTCGGCGCTCTGTTCCAGTCAGTGCTGTTTGTTTGCCTGGGCTTAGGCAGTCCACCGTAGACGTAGAAGCGACTTTGGAACTTGTCGATTTCTTTTCCACCCATATAGTTGTCAAAGTACTCACTAAATGCTAACAACTAATCCTCAGTATTACACTGAATTAGAAAAAGTTCGTGATTAAACCTAAAATGGTTGGACTAGTTTTATGGTAATGACTTTAATGATTATTGTTGTTATTTTAATATTTTCATTGACAAAAATCTCCTCAGAAATCCAGCACTGTTATATCTCCAAAATAGTGATCCAGTTAAGATTGTAAATAAACGTCTACCAGTAACGACTCGGATATCGTTGACATTACAGGAAGATTTTCCTACAATTGTCCATGATTTTATTGATGTCAGAACGCAATGCTTTGATCTGTTCCCAAGTGGCACGACCAAAAACGACCATTTACTTCATCACCTGAGACACTAGTCGGATCATGAGATGGTATTCATGTCTCGGACACGCCAAATTGGCCTGCACCTCCCGTATACACGTAATTACTTTTGTGTATATATGTATGAATGCTTACACATGTACAACTTGTGTCGTGGTTACCCTTATATGAATCTTGCCATTTAGAGAGGAGTTCTGCGAGGTACCAGTGAACATTCTCTCACCAAAATATAGCACACATAAAGGTCTTCATACGAAAGTGTAATGCTATTGGTGTTCTTCGACGAGTAATCGAAACCCATTGACCAGCCATGAAGACGAGTGCAGGCTTTACTAACGGCTGCTCAAGTCATTCGATCATAAGCGTGGTCACTGATGTTTGTTTAGCGAAATCTCCACTGTTCTATGGTTTCTGTTAACACTCGTAGGAGAACACTCACTTCTGTCAGTGTGGATTTGCATTCGCCGATGATAAGTACTGATTTACTCATCATTTCTGCCTTGAGCAAAAGTGCTACATCAGAGCTTTCTAGTGGAGTGCATCATCCAATGTCAGGGCTTCGCGTTCACTTTTACGGTCTTTTATTCTTACTTACATAAAACTATTAAGATCCACCGCAGTTTCACTTACTCTCCTATTAGATGAACTTTAAACAGATTTTAGACTAGCATCTTAATTACGGCTTTTCTCGTACCATTAGTGGAATTTCATTTTTCGTATTTATTTTGTAATACTGGACTTACCAGTTATCCTTCTGCGGTAGATAGGCGATGGTTCTGGCACTAATCCTCAAAAAATCGTTCTCCTTACAGCAAAAATCTTCGAGTGCAGAATATGAGGCTCCACATTTGTCTAGAGTATCCACAAAAGGCGAAACTGAGCTCCTACGCTGCTCGTACATATTGTTTTCCATAACTTTCCATTTATCTAGATAAAAGAATTTAGAAAAAAAACATAACTTTCACTGAAACCAACAGTAGTAAAAAAGGTCTTAATAATGGAAGGTCAGCAGCGTTTCCCACTTAATATCGTGTTATGCACAGCGTTGCCTGACTATGCCAAATGTATTTAGCACTCCTGTTTCAGAAGTAGGCGATGTCGTAGAAAAACAAAGTGGCTAGAATAGAAATAAGTTAGTCTTAGTATAGCGCACACTGGATCATCGACGACTTTTGGCGGCGTGACACAACGATGGAAGACGATGAAATCTCGGAATGTACAGCACGTCATGCGAACCGGAGGAAAACTACATACTTAATATCATGCAGACCCTTCCTTGCTGTGGGCGTCCAAAAAGTAAACTGCTTCCTCAAAATCCAGTTTTCACACTCCTCTCGGAGACAACAAGTTACACCAAATTATATATCTATACTTATCTATAACCTGCAGAAGGTACAATTACGAGAAATACCCTTAAGTGGCCATAACTCCGTTATACGTGGTCCAAGACAAAGTCCAATCACGAACTCTCACTGGCATAAGTTTTATTGTACGCTATCTTTTTCTCATTTCTTAAATCTTACGAGGTCATACCGCATCGTAAGGCTATCCTAAGCCTACAAGCACCATACTGGAACAAAATGATCGTCATCACTTGCTGCCAACCAGCACATGGAACCGATGAAAGCGAATTTCGCACCTTATAGCATCAGATGAGGAAAGTTATTTGCCACGAAAAGACATTCTGCAAATTTGTTTTTGGAGTTATCAACATAAGAATAGGAAACCCTAATGCGAAAAAGTGGCAAATTTAAAATAGAATAAATAGGAACGGATACTGTGCATACAGGATTTTGTCCGCATCGTGCCTCCTCAATAGATAATCAGTTTTTTTTCCGAAGAAAAATGGCCGGTGGGTATAATAACGCCTCTGGTGTGGGAATCGATGACGTTTTTAAAAATAGAACGCAAACTTAATGCCATTCTTCTGTAATGGTCTCCTCACAGGTCTTCTCAATGTACGGGATGCGGTTCGGAGCTTTGCAAATATCTCAGCATCGTTGAAGCTATATTTCGCATTATACCCTGCCATTGAAAATAGTAGGCAGTAAGTAAAAAACGATTAAGATTGTGATTATAACTAAAGCCTCAGCTTAACTGGGTTCGTTGCCGATTTAGGCTCCCCAGATCAATCCCGCTGACGGATGATTGTTTACGGGAAAAGGTCGATAGAACTAGCTGAGAGACGGGCGAAACGAATAACCCGTATGGTGTGGTGGTGAACGCGTTACTCTCTAGAAAGGACAATAGAGCTTTCGTTCCCCATCGCAGACACCTGCGGTGCGGAGCTTTGCAAATATCTCAGGATCTTAACCTTTTTATTTACTGCCATTAAAAAGAAAAAGGCAGTAAATAAAAGGGTTAAGAATGTGATTATAACTATGCCTCAGCTTAACTGGGTTCAATGCCGATTTGGGCTCCCCAGATCAATCCCGTTGACGGGTGATTGCTGATGGCAAAAAGATCGATAGAACTAACTGAGAGACAGGCAAAACGAAGGACCCGGATGGTGTGGTGGTGAAGTGCGCTGCTCCCCGGTAAGGACAACAGCGCGTGTTCGTTCCCCACCGCATACACCTGCTGTCCGGAGTTTTGCAAATATCTCACCATTATATACGAGTTATATCCCAGGATCGTTGAAGTTATATTTCGCATTATACCCTGCCACTGAAAATAATAGGCAGTAAGTAGAAAAACGATTAACATCCTATAGTAGTAAAGGACTTCAAGTACGACCATTTTAACCACGAAAGGTAAGAGAAAAAATCACCTCCCAAGAGTCGCTGTTTGGGAGTGAGCAGTCTCGAGAGGACTGCGGATTACTGTATTGAGGCCTTCGGGTGGCGATGTGGCGGAAAACAGTTCATTCGCAATGGCTTGAACCGTGTAAAAGTCGTAACAAGATATCTGTAGGTGAACCTGCAGATGGATCATCGCTAAAACCACCACAAAACAAACTCATCGTTATGGTTATGTGATGTGATGCGCGGATGGTTGATGGAATGATCAATAAGAAACCAACATGCGTCACCATATATTGGATTATGTCGCCCACGTTGTTATTATCGTAACACCATTAGAGCTCAGCATACAAGGTGTCTACGTATAAGCATGAGTCGTTCTAGAGTGGCGGCTGTGATTGCTTATACGAGCGATGTTATACACACAAACCGTCGCGGATCTATGAATCAAATGCGATTTGTTTCGCAAACGTGTGACTTGAATTGCTAAGAGTAAAAGTCATCGCAAGCACTGCCCGCCATGCTTACTCACAGCGTTTTAAAACGCTTTAGAACTCAACAAAAATGATTTATTGCGAAATTTAGGAATCTGCGCCAATGCTCAGAAGTTGAGCAAGTAGGATTTTGACATAGTTTTTGCTGGACAACAATAACGACATTCAAGTGGCATCTAGAGTCAAACACCGTCCTATATTAGAGCGTTGTAAGACTGCTATCGGAAGTGCACCATCAAAGCAATATGACATTCAAGAACAATATTAAGGAAAACTCTAAGAAAGAAATAGGATAGTAGTGTTAGGGACTTCAGGAAAGTCACGCTCCAATCCATCTAATTTTCTGCCTTGACGCGCTTTTTGCCTTACACCTTGAGAACCAGTTTCTTTCTTGGAGCTCGAGAGCTGAAGGATGAAGGATTTTCAGCGCTAACCTTTTCACGACCTTGCGCATTGATTTCAATACTTACGTTGCTATACGTTCCAGATCGCACATATTTTTTTCAATGCGCGTACTGATTGCGTGCTGATGACATGCGGTCGTGAAAGGGCTAATGAATTCCTGAAGAATGGACCATTCATTTGAGTTCATCAAGCATCACAAAAGTTACCGAATGTATATCTGCAATGTACAGTACTTAGAGTGGCTCATCAATGTACCCAGTCAGTATTTTTACCCTTCCAGAGAAGTATGGCAGCAGTCTGTCGACGTCGAAAGGATGGAATGTTTGGCGAGCACGTGCAGCGAAATCGAACAGGCGACCCTTTCAGTGTGTAAGACAGGACATCTTGAACCACTGAGCTATACACGCCATCAGACCCATGAACTTTGAAAACCGTTTGAAATCGGGTTTGATGCTGAGTGCATTGACTATGCTTCAGAAGGCAACTTTTTAGCACTATGTGAATTAGGGCATCAACCAACGTCACAGCATCATATCAGAGCATTGGAAATAGCATGAAGTGAAAGGGTTTTACGCAGTCTTTGGTGTTTACCAGGTGATAGATGGCTTCGTTGGCATGCCATAACTTCAATTTATTTTCGTATGCCTTATGTCAAACGTATGTACTCGCATTAGCAAACGATTTATGGATCACTCTAAACGACTTCCGCAGACGCGATCATGAACAAGGTAGATCTTCAACCGTCGATAATCAAGAGTAAACGCCACCAAAGGAAAATGAGCCACTGCGCTTGACTTGTTATGAACAGTTATCCAACTAACCAAGTATTGTACTATTCCTAGCAAAAATCCATTAAATGACATTTTGTACCTTCGGGTTCACGGAACAAATCGACCTTGTTGGTGTCCTCTGGCTGCTCACATACTAAAGGAGCGCAGTCTTCACCTGAAATAACGTCATTTAAGCATTTTTGCTTTCATAAAAAGACAATTCGCCAGAATTAAAGGGTGATGAGACATAAAGGAAAAGTATGTTGCTAAATTTTGAATCTGTTTTTAAGGTTATGAGTGAGTATATATTTTTTTGCTGTCCATTTTTGAGGGCTAAGGACTAATGGAAAATCATGACTGATGTAAAGAAATAAAAGATAACACGAAGTGTATTACACAATTTCTAAACAGCCATGGTCATATTTGACTATGTCACTATCAGAAAAATTCCAACTCAAGCTCATGTCATGTTGTACGGCAACACTCATAGGATTTACTGCCTCACCTGTTGAGCGACCAGCCGACAGCACTTCGTTGAGCCACTCTTTCATCGACACGGAATCCTTCCGTTTGGTAAGGAACCGATCACGGCCAGGACGAGTTTTTCTCTGCAGAAATGTCGAATTAACAGAGTTAAGAAGGAAACATATCTAAGGCAGACTTTTTATGCTATTATGTATATAACAGAGCTCGTTCAATAAATGATGAATTAAGCAAATGATGCCTACCCCATTTCCTCCTCCACTACAAGAGGTAAAGCAGTTAAAATTTACAGCATTAAATAAGAAAATATGCTTTTATACTCGATAGCTGGGAATCATACGGGTACCGAAACAGTTTCCATTTCATTTAGAACGTTTTGATGAATGGACGAGATGTTTTCACACGACACTCGAAGAAAGTGGTATAGTGGGAAAGTGGAGTAACAAGATAGAATCTAGGAAGTTATGGACTGTCTAAAACACCGTTATTGCAAGAACAAGTATAAAGCTCTCGGCGCTGATCAGTCCTTGAGGGGTATGTCGTACATTTGACTTCATCAAGCATCGTTAGAGACGACTAAATGCATATTTGGCCTGCACAATGAACTGCAATGGACCATCGATGTATCAACCTTGCGTTGCTATCTTCTTAGATAACTCTGGAACTAATTTGGCTCGGAAGGATGGAAGTCTTGGTAATCACGTGCTATGTGATCGAGCCAACGACCATCTGTGTATTGCAAGGGATTTCTAAGTGCTACGCTCACACTCCACTGCCATCATGATAAAATCCCAACAGTTCATTACGAACTGATCTACGTGAATGATTGGCAAAAATTCGACGTTCGTAAAAAATTATTACGAAAAAACTGGAGTGCTATTGCAGTAAAGGTCGTTACGGACCAGATTCTCATCAGTGACCTTGTGACATTCAAATATAAAAGAAAAGGATAAAGCTCTCGGCGTTGATCAATGTATGAGGGATGCGCCATGCATTCGACTTCATTAAGCATCGTTTGGAGGTGACTGGTTGCATATCTAGCCTTATCTGCACTGGTGGCCAACAAATGTATCGAGCCAGAGCTGCTATCTTCCCAGACAAATCTGGTACCAATTTGTCGACACTGGAGAGATGGAGGGCTTGGTGGGCCATAGGAGTAAGGATCCATTCCACGTGCGTGTTGCCGGACATCTCCGACCGCTGCGCCATACGCGTCCTCTCAATATAAACCATGAAATCTGGTTTATCATGATCTATTGGCGCAATCCGTTCATTCCGACTATTTCTCTTCTTTGGCTACTCTATGCAATATGAGGTTTCTTGAAAACAGCTTAAGAGCTAGCCACCATAACCAGAGTTGCTAAAATGTTCTTCTTTCAAGTCTGTTTCTCAAAAATAAAAAACGAAAGAAGAAAGAAAATATTTCCACGCCATATAGACATATTACGGCCGAAAAAATATGATGAAGAGAATCCCTTGAGAGATATTTATTTCCTTCAACATGTCGAACCACTAAAACGTTGCACGCATCGTCGAGCCAATTTGTTTGCAAGCGCAAAGGGACTGCTAAGTATCGATTCAAGAAAAACTATAAAACTTAGAGGAACTAAAGATTCTCCACACTTAGAAAGGAGGAAAAAATACGAAATGGCTCAAAAAATATCTGGAAACATCTGAAAAATTATGGTACACCTGCTAAAGGACGAGTCACATGCATTGATTTGTTTTTTTGAAACGATTTGTGGAATGGAAATATTAAGAAATATCGCCATATTTTACATAGTTTGACTAAATTCCCTACCAAAAAGTGCTTTACACCATATTAGCGCTCCTAGTTCAGTGGCTAGGGATGCTCTGTAATACTCAGGTTGTCGTTGCTTCGACCCGGCGCCCGGTTCTCACTGAACCTTCCATTCCTCCAGGATCGGAAAATTGGTTCCATACTTGTCTGGGATAACAGCAGTATTGACATGATACATCAGTGGGCCACCACATGTCATTGCATAGGCCAGATATGCATTCAATCCGCTCTCACAATGCTTGCTAATGCCAAATACATGACGCTTCCGTCAAATGCATGAATCATCGACGTCAAATTTTTTCCTTATTCTGTTGTAAAAACTGCGGTCAATGGTGACCTGATTCAAGAAAAACTGGGCCGAATTTAAAGAGAATGAACCGGCTAAAAACGTAATTGTTTTCCGATCTTTTTCATCAATTTCAAATCTACCCAAGCAAAAAATGTTTAAAGGTTCTGAATAGGAAATGAGATTTATTCCGAAGTGACCTCACATTCTTCGGAAAGAGAAAGAAATGTCATCTTACTGTGCAAGGAAGTTCGACTTCCCTCTCGGCTCTCACATAGCAAAAATCGAATTCTTGTGGTACGAGACTGAGCGTTATGCACTGGCGATTACTGATGCTCACCTTTCGCCAAATCTTCTCTCCTTGGAACATCTGAAAACGGGTGCCATTAAAAACGATGTAATCATGAAAACTGCGGAAATACAGCTAACAATTTTATCCTTCAGAGAAAATTAGTGCAAGTATTCAAATTCCAACTCGAACTTGCTGTAGACTGACAGCAACTTGTGCTAAAAAAAATGTTGGTACGAATTTGGGTATTGAGCGCTGTCCCTTGACCTCATAGAGAACGAACGCATTTTTTATGCTGCTAGAAAAAAACGCCATTGCTGAAATGCTCTGCATTTCTTTTCACTTCTTCGTATTTTTGTTGAGCAAACGCGAGGTGTTATTATTCTTTATTCACAAATGAGCTGACGTTTCGGCGGATTTCGCCTTCCTCAGAGCCTGGAAAGGTCAAGTTGACAGCAATCTACTTGGCCAGACGCCTCCATAACCAAACAAAGAAACTCTAAACCAAGATTTCAATCACATTGAACACAG